AAAGTCTGCAAATAGACAAAACTCGTAATAACACAGATTGTCAACAAAAATAAATTAAAAGAAAAATTGCCTCTATTTTAAGTGTTGGGACAGAAATAGATGGAAAAAAGTGTTATAAAACACTTGAGAGAGAAAAATGCTTTCCAGATAGTGATAGAGATGTATAGTCTTATGTACGGATTGTAAGCTATTGTACATAAGTTATGGTTTGGCATCGATTTCTCGGACAAGATATACTGTATATATATTTTATATATTGAGAGCACTTTCAACACATAAAAATGAACTTTAAAATAGCGATTCTCGAGTGAGAAATGCCTTTTCATTTGAAAACGCTTCGGGCCGTCAAATAATGTACTTTTCGTATACATACAGAGTGTATAAGCGTTTGTATTGTGAATGCAATGCAAGGGAACTGAAGGAAAAGTTATATTTTTTTAGAGTCGATCAGTCGATGGCTGTTCCGCTGTCTCAGGAAGACTGGCCTCTTATAACAGTTTCACACAATGAATAGGAATTTCGTTATATTCTGTGTCTAACTGTCTGTCGGTCTGTCTCTTACAGTATATAACGGTTTGTGTGGATGTGATAAAAGTGATGCCAACACATCGCATACACAATGGACTTCTCTGTTCATGATTACCACCACTAATAATGATTACTCAAAAACTAGTCTACACTGCAGTACACCTATTCTTAGGCAGTGAAGTATGCCTTACAGTCATTGCTCTCAAACTCTAATTGAAGCAAATATTTATTGCGTTTAGAAATAAACTTATATATAGTATAGAGAGATAGAGAGAGATATTGAGTGGTTTTAACCTTCACTTCCATGAAAAACAATCCCATCATATAATGAACTTTATATATTAGGACTATGCTTTGACTTATAAGCTCTCTCTCTCTCTCTCTCTCGATATAATAAAATCTGTTGGAAATAGTGTACAGTAATTGCCATTACTTATTGTATATCCACTGTATATACTACACCGTTATATAATCATTACTACAGCTGTTTTGGGCTCACGATTTGCTTAACATTAGATATATTAGTGATTTACTGAGAGAGAGAGAGAGAGAGAGAGAGAGAGAGAGAGATGTAGGAGGAGTAGGAGAGAGAGATGGAAGCAGGACTGGTAGGACTGTTAGGACTGTTGTGTTGGCGCTTCCATTATGTGCACTCAACTCATTAAATATTCGAAAGGCATTACAAAATAGACCGGGAATTGGACTTAATTGTCGTGTACTCTCTTAGCACTAGCGGTACTTTTTTCCACGAGTGCCAGTGTTGGGCCAATTAGTGCCATTTATCACGTATTACAAATGCTCATGTTAATCACAAATTACACCAGTATATGCACAGTGCTCTACTGGGGCACACATACCGATGCAGATAACGTTTTAGGCAAATGGTGAGCCCATTACCAGGCATTGGAGACAATGGCTCACAGAAATAGTCACCATTTATAGCATTTATCTAAATATAAGGATAATGTGTAACAATCTATACTTTGCTGGAAATTGTCTTTAAAATACATTGTGTTTTATATTCTCGGCATTCATTCGCCTGCTTTATATGGTGTCAAAAATTGTACGCTTTTTAATTTATAATAATTATCCGCACAGTTATTATAGTTATTTTTGCAAAAAATCTGTTTTAGATATAACTTAATAATAATTGTTAGGTTTGCAAAAATACAAGTTTTTTTCTTTAATTTTATGCATAATATATAACTTTTAGATAGTATTTTGTTCCCAAAACTCATGCAATTCACTCATTTATCATTGTTTTAAACTGTTAACTGTTCGCAGAATTTGTGCATAAAATGTAATCTTTATAAAAGTGATTAATTTTAAATTATATTTAATGCTAGTCTTTATTATTGTTACTTTGAATATCCATTAATTTCTATGAATTTTTCTATTTTATGTGATAACATGTTACGTACAGTATAGAGTATTTCATTAAAATTTATTATAAAATTTATGTATGCATAAAAAATATGTAAATTATTTTTAAAATTAGAATTCTTTAAATTAATATATTTTCAGTAAAAATAAATTTACAGAATATAATACAATATTCAAATAATTCACACTTAACTAAATGAGTGAATTATAGTCTTAATAATAAATATTAATTCAATTCTCGAGTGAATGTTTTGAGCCTCTATTTCCTAATATACTTCTCTCGCAAAACATACAACAAAACGGTTCACAACTAAACAAACGAATGGCTTTTGTGTTCAAAAATTTATCAAATACTCTAAATTTACGATCAATTTTATAACATTAAGGCCTTTCATGAGTGGAGAGTCATTCGTATATAGTATTTGAGAAAATACTGTAGTTTAGGAGTTGAGAAAATACGAGAGAGAGAGAGAGAGAGAGAGAGAGAGAGAGAGATAAAAACAGCAGATTTTTAACACATTTTTTTCATAGCTATTCTCATATGAAATATAATTGAATAGAAAGCGTAAAGAATCCGATGAAAAGGGAAAACACATTCAAATAATTCGCTCACAGAATATATACACCATATATAATATAATATAAATATTCTCTCACTTCCTTATCTAAAAAACTAGAAATTTATTTAAAAGTCATTTGTTTTGCTTTCTTTAAACAAAATTAGTTTAGTAATAATAAAAGTTTTTTATTATCAAGCCATTAAACGTTTTATTTATTATTTAACACATTCATTTACAATATTATGCAAAACATTGACAATTTGCAAACAAAACAAAAAATTAAAAATTCAAACAATAAATTTTATCATTATTTATATCCCGCTGGGAGTATACTTTACACCATTTATATTAATTATTTTGCCTTTTTTATTAATAATTATTTTCAGATTAATAAAAATATAATAATTACTCCGAAAGTTTTAATTACGGGTTTCATTAATCAGAAAAACCCAGTGAATAGTCGACTAAGACTTTACATAAACAGGAATTTTTGAATAACAATCTGTACGGCAATAAAAACTCATTAAACGTCAAAATTAAATTTGTGTTCACCTAAAAAATAAAAACAAAATTCATTGTAATTAACAGTATGTTGTAGTAAAAGTTCATTATAGTGATTGCATTACACAATTAGATATACTGGACACACAATCAACAACTTGCTTAAATGAAGTGCATATTTAATTATTACTTAATTTATTATTAATCCATAAATAATGAGCACAAAAAACTTTGTTTAATTATAAAAATATTTTCACAACGATTAGGGATTAATTTAATAAAATATTGTCAATGACCTAGAACAATGTACCATATATAAAACACAGACATTGTATCGACACTGGTATCGATTGGACTCTAAATTAAAGTCTCAAATTCAAATAACACGGCAATTTGAATACAAACCAATTGAATGTTTTGTTATAAAAAACTTTATCTATTAGTAGACAAAAGGAGTTCCGACAAAACACTCATCAATGCATCACTGACTCAATAATCAGATGTTTTTGCATCAAATAGAAAAAACTTCTGAAAACTTTTGCTTAATTTACTATAAAAATGTGTTTGCTTCAAAAATTTGTTTGAACACTAATACAATGTATGATAAGTGTATTATTCATTGACTAATTATACGATGTTTACAATTCTCTTGAATTTAATTTCTTTATACATTAGGAGTTCAGTGCATAAGAGAATTGAAATCATAATAATAAGAGTCACTGAAAATAGACGCAAGAATTTGCTTCAGAAAAGTCTTTTTCATTTGCATTAAATTAGAAATTTATTGTTATTTTGGGGGCAAAACCTCTTTTAGTAAACTTTTCATAATAGAGACGCTCTCTTGTAATAATAAATCAATTGTGAAAATAGGCACAAATGTATTGATTATTTGGATTTTTTCAAGTTTTTGACTGAAGTGTATGTATTCTGTACTGTAAATAATGAGAGCATTCATTGTATTCAAATTCAATTGACTCAATAAACTCAGCAAATATATTGAAGTGAATGACACTTAGGATGTGGTGATAAATAAGTATAAATCACAAAACATTTTTATTTTTACGCATGACTTAGATTATTACATAGATAATAAATATTTGATTTAAAATTGTTATTTTTAATTTATGGCAATAGACTTATAAAAATAGTAGTAAATGAAGTTCAGTAATATAAATATGACTTAAAGCTACAAATGTGTTATAATTTCATGTGTGAAAATTTGTCGATTATATCAATGGCTTCGGTGTAATGGGTCTGTTGGGTCTCCAAATCAATCCTGACTTCTCTGTCGGGATCGTCACCAATGATATCTCCGGTAGAGTCGTATGATTGACGGATACGGACCTTGAAGTCGACGGCAATGAACTTAGAGGTCGAGTCTATTAGCTCTAACTGACACAACTTCGGTAGGCCGTCCCTGTTTAGGTCATAAACAACACAGAGGTTTAGCACTAATTGATTCATTTGTTATATTCATAACTTACTTAAACTTTTTCTTAAGTATAACCACATAAGCGTCGACTAATCTCTTGACTTCTTCCACCTGAGCCCCCAAATGGGCTGAGTATGAGACGTCTTGTGGTGTTTTGTTGAGTGTTGTGGGCGTATAGGAAATGGATGATTGACTGGAGATGGATATATTGTCACTGGAATTGTTATGACTCCCATCCACCTCTTCCAACCAATCCCTCCACTTATCCATCTCTGGTCGCGATTTGAACACCAGTTCCAGTGAACTCTTTCCCAACAATTCTCTATTCGTTTAATAATGTAAATGTTTATTAATATACAATAATATGAAAACAACTTTACTTTTACTAACTTTTGAGCTATATTTATCACTAAGGTTAGGTCACCATTAACTGGTTTGATAGTCGCACCCTTTATGTCCACCTTGTCTTTCCTGTCCTTTTGTGTCTCATTCTTATACCACGAAAGGGTTGTGTCATTCAATACAAACCAATACTCATCCTTCTTGTATTTAATCCAATCACTTTTGACAGCACTTTGTTTGGAGGCTTTCTCGGACATTATAGATTGAATGTCGGGTATGGGTCTCGAAGTGGTATTCCTATCGTAATCATAATTATGTTAATTTAGTTTCAATATTTACTGCAAATATCAAATACCCAATCATTTTAATAAAGTCTTCATTAATGGTATTCATATAAGACTTTTCCGATTCGACCAAATGCTCGACAAATGATTTGCATTTCTTATTAGACTCGCGTACGAAATCCAATGCAAACTTTGAAAAGACAGCTCTGTTTTCAAAACAATTATAATAAATAAAACAATCAAATACGAGAGTAATAAATACTTATAAACTATATATTGAATCAAACCTTAATTGAGGATAGCGTTCAATATCTCCCACACATTCTGTAACTATAATTACGATCTCATCCGTAACCCAATCGACACAATCGAGTGATATCTTACGAAACAGTTCTGTCGATACAATAATTCAAGTAAAATATTTTTATCTCAAAAATAATATTTAAAAATTAATACCGATTTGATTGGCCACGACTGATATGAAAGCGGTGTCGGGTACAAACACCCCAATCCTGGTGCCGAAAGCATTTTTGATGGCCACTCCGATCTCACGTCGGATACGGTTGTCGTCGTAAAACATTTTATTCACTTCTTTGGCATAAGTGTCGTTCATTAAGGAATTGATTTTTGTTCCGCCATTCAGTTTCTCGGCGGACACCAGCCATGCCTTTCCTCCCACTCCGGCATCAAAACTAGATCTCATCTTCTCGTAGGCTTCGGCTAATATCCTCTCTTTGTCTGAATCTTCTAACGGCAACTCAATTGTCTCTAATTTCTTGTTCAGTTCGTCTAATTTATTCTGTATTTTAGGCTTCAATGGCGGCAATCGTTTGAAGATATGATTTGACAGCTCTGTCTGTAAATATTCCTGAAGGTATCTGATTCCCATTTTGTCCGCCATATCCGGTCCATAAGCCGGGTGCTCTATGAAAAACCTGCGTTCATCTGAAAGAGCTTTTCTGATGTCTTTATTGTCGTCGATATCCTTTTGTGACCGATTGATAACTCCTATGAAATCTCTTTTCAAATGTATTTCATGCCTCCCATTGAGTATATCTCTGGCGTTAGTCCCGGCGTCCATGAGATCTAATTTGGTTAACACACCGATAGTGCGCTCACCCGATGGATCCACTGCATGGGCCAACTTCAGAGCATCAGATGTGGCCAAATCTGTTTCATACAAATACAGTATAATTCATATTATTATTATTATTATATTAATTTTGATTATTTCAAATAAAATTAAAATAGTAATTTATACCTTGATTAGCAGCAGTGACCGCTAGTATAAGACAATTATCTTTCGAAATATACTCTATAATCATATTCTCAATCATTTTCTCGATATCTTTGGGTTGGTTCCCAACGGCCACTCTTGTCATTCCCGGCAAATCAACTAATGTTAGGTCCAATACATCCGGGGAATAGATCTTCAGATTTATTGGTTTTGCAGAAATCCCCTTATAGTCAGAAATTTCTCTATCAGTTTCTGCCGTGATTTCGTCTCTGATTTCATTGAAATCATAGAAACATTTTCCCGGAGAGTGAAGAAACTCTCCGAATGCTATTAAAATGTGATTAAAATTATATATATTTATATATTTAAATATGTGAAACTTGCATTGTCTGTTATTTTGGTCGTTTATCAATTGGAGAACAAGTGGTCTTCGGGTGACAATACCTGAACCTCGGGGTAAAAAGTCTTTGCCGACTATACTCTCCAATACACTCGACTTTCCCGATGACTGACCGCCGATGACTGCGATTTGTGGCAAATCTATTATAGATGTTTCAATGCCTAATGGATTGAGTTTGTCTTGAAGTTCATTCACTATTATTATTAAATTTATGCCTAATTGAGACATTTTGGCCAATATTTTAATATTTTTCTACTAACTTTCTAGTCTAGTCTTAATAATTATAAAATTACTAACTCGTTATACTAGTAAGTTATATTGACTGAATGAACTTATTATGCATTGAATATGAAATATATTTATAATTATAAAATTTTTTATTATACATCAATAAAACTACTTAGGGATCATTCAATAAGTACGTACGCACTGGATGGGGGAGGGGGGGGTCAGCCAAGGCATGCGTACACAATGTTAAAGTCCTATG